GTCACTGCGGCCGAACCCGAGGTCACAGGACAATATAAATGACATATTCGGACTCAGCATTGAATGGGCTTTCATTTCCAATCAACAAATCAAAAATGCCAGCTTAGGAAACTCATAATGCTTTTATAACAGTATCCTTTATTAATTTCATCATATTTTTAATTATTAGAAAAATTAATCAGTGTCACATGTCTTAATGCAGTATATATTTTGGCATTTAATCAAATATTATTAACTAAATCCTTAACATAATTAAGAAATACCAATATTTTGATTAAATAAGTGATAAATAAGATAAGAGTTGATCACAAGATTTCTGATCCAAGTTTTTTTCCATCAAAATATTGTGCGAAAAACTTGTAATCATTTTGTTGAATGAGTTTTAGTGTGGAATCAAATGTGGGATCAGTTTTGAGACAATTCCTATCAATAGACCATAAGTTATATTCCGATAATACTTGTGAACAATCGGGTCTTGTGCTATGGATTGCAACACTCATTGAGTCAATGATTTGATCCATTTTAGTAAATTTGTCGTATATTTCATATCCCGAGTAAATACTCAAATCCGGTGAACTGCAATAAAAAATATAAATTTTACTTAATTATGTCAATAAACTAAACATCAAAATGATTACTCAAAATCATTCAAATTAAACAATTTGTCAGCAATGATCGCTAAACTATAAATGTCTGCTTTAATAGTGTATTTAGTTCGCAATTTAGTTCGCAATTTATTTCGCAATTTAACTTCTGGTGCCATGTATTGAAGTGTGCCCACTCCTGTGGTATGACTGGCATCGGAACCATCAGGGTGCAATGACGCCAAACCAAAGTCACATAACTTCATAAACCTACCTTCCCTTACATTCTTCGCCACCAATATGTTGTCGGGTTTGAGGTCCCTGTGGATGATCTGTGGACTCAATTTATGCAAATACTGGACGCACTCTAAGAGCTCTTTGAATATATGACACGATATGTAAAACTCGATTGAATTTATGGGTTCTCCCGGTTGTCGACCAAATACTTGTGGTTTGTGTATAAGAATATCCTTAAGACTATCGCCACCCAACTCCATATGTATATAAAATATATCGTTTTCTGTGCCGCTATCGATATAATGGACAACAAATTCTGATCGAACTTTAATTAAAGTTTTCAACTCTTTATATAATTTATTTGGATCTGGAATTGCTAATATATATATATATATGAATTATAATCAATTAAATTAATGTTAATTATTTTAAATTAATTTTAATTGAATATATCAATACCGTTAGTTTGTATCATTTTGACTGCATATTCTTGTCCATCAGATTTTTTAATAACTCGCTTTACTGTACCAAATGCCCCTGAACCAATTTCACCTTTAACTTCGAATATTGCATTAAATGACAATAAATTAGTATCGGGATCAATTCCATCTAAACATTATATAGAAATATAAAACATAAATTAATTAACAATAACAATTACTGACAGTATACTACCATTTATGGTTTGATTTATAACTGCATATTCTTGTCCATCAGATTTTTTAATAACTCGCTTTACTGTACCAAATGCCCCTGAACCAATTTCACCTTTAACTTCGAATATTGCATTAAATGACAATAAATTAGTATCGGGATCAATTCTGAAGGATGTAAAGAACGGCAGGTATTTCAAAGTGGCTGACTTTGGGTTGTCGACCAAATACTTGTGGTTTAAGTCTAAGAATATCCTTAAGGCTATCGCCACCCAACTCCATGTGTATATAAAATATATGGTTTTCTGTGCCGCTATCGATATAATGGACAACAAATTTAGATCGGACTTTAATTAAAGAATCCAATTCTTTATATAAGTTCTTTGGATCAGGAATTGCTAAAAATAGATATGAATTATAATCAATTAAATTAATTTTAATTATTTTAAATTAATTTTAATTGAATATATCAATACCGTTAGTTTGTATCATTTTGACTGCATATTCTTGTCCATCAGATTTTTTAATAACTCGCTTTACTATACCAAATGATCCCGAACCAATTTCATCTTTAACTTCGAATATTGCATTAAATGACGACAATAAATTAGTATCGGGATCAATTCCATCTAAACATTATATATAAATATAACATAAATTAATTAACAATAACAATTACTGATAGTATACTACCATTTATGGTTTGATCTATAATGACAAACATTTTATGTAAAAATTTATTACAATTCTCTATAAATTCTTGTTTTGTGTTATAATTATATTCTTCATAATCGCATAAATTAATTGTTTTGTGAGTTANTTATGGTTTGATTTATAATGACAAACATTTTATGTAAGAATTTATTACAATTTTCTATAAATTCTTGTTTTGTGTTATAATTATATTCTTCATAATCGCATAAATTAATTGTTTTGTGAGTCATTTGAAATTCCAGTGAATAAAAGTCGAACAAATTATTATAATTAGTTTCACCTAGGCCAGTTTTCATAAACACCTTGTACACTTTACTATTTATTATGGCAGCAATATAAGATATATGCTTTTGGTATGTGAACACTCGATACAATTCTTGAAACCTTTCGTCAAAGAATAATGCGGCCGTATCTTGAATCGCGTAATCACCTTGCTCATTCCGGTATTGGCCACAAAAATAAACTAAACCATCATTCTTTATGAAATATGCCCTGGTACCTGCACCGGACATACTTCTAACATCTTTCAAATTGTCAATTAACTGTGGCCTTGCTACATTGTCAGTTGTTTGATGACCCAAATTAAAGTATTCATTTGAACCCCAACTAAACACCCGTCCATTAGTAGTGATTGCAAACGATGAGTATTGCAAACAATAGACAGCTGTCATTTTATATTCAGGGTCAAAATTCAATTTAATCGGTTGAGCCACGCTATTAGACTCATCACCACTGCCTACCTGTCCCTCTGAATTTCTACCCCACCCGTAGACACAGCCACCACTCGTGAGCACTAATGAGTGACAATAACCGCAACTTATTTGTCGCACATTTAAGTTATTATTTATAAATAATATTTTCTCGGGTGTTAAGCAACCATAAATTGGTGGCCTGGCTAACTGTCCCTCATTATTGTAACCCAAACCATATATGTAGTTGTTTTCATTGATGGCTAACACAAAGTCGGATCCATTGAAGAATTGTGTGATATTCTTGTGACACAATTCCCGTATAAGTNTAAATAGACATAAACGTAAATTGCAATCAAAGTTTGGTGAAAGCGCTCAAAATAACAAGAATTTCAATAAAACAAAACTTATGTTTTTACTAATTTTGTTACTAATGTTGAAAAAGTTGCTGTTTCATTTTGGCAGTCATTTTTCGTCTTATTCACTAATAAATACGTGTGTATTCCTGGATACTTATCATGCATATTATTACATACTGTTTGCTATAATTGCATTGAAAACTACTGTAAATCTGGCATTCAGCCTTATTAATAGAAACACTATTAATACTGATAAATAGACATAATGTTAAAATTATTTGAAACTAATTTTAATTAATGTTTAATAGGTTTGACTTTTGTGATTTGTGTTTACGTATCACTACTATTTATTGTTGTAACTATTATTAAATATTTATGTAAATGTTAACATTTAATCAATTCATTAAAGTATAATTAATTTTGATAAGAACTTTAAATGTCAAATATGATAGATACGATTAAAATATTATTAAAAGCCATTAAATTATAAATTGGACTTTTGAATTTGATAATTATGATTACCTTTATATTCTGATTAATGACTAATCATTATATTAGTTAATTAAACTTAAGTGAAGTTATAGATTAAATATAAAATTATAATATTTTTCATAAAATGAATAAAATAAATTAACGGGACTATTAATCATTGCTTATATTATATAACGCATAAATATTAGTTATAATAATTTATTTAATTTATTTGTGTTTTCAATTCAGTAAATGTGTAATTTATAGTAAGTTGCTAAAATTTACATTATATTTTTTCAATACATTAACATCTCAAAATATATGAGCGCATTAATTACTATAATAACCGATAGGTATTAATTAATATGTTAATTGCAAAAGTTATAAATAGACCTGCAAAGTTACGTTTACGCCTAAGATTTAATGCGCATTTTAATTTAACATTTTACATTTCAGTAACTATGTTAACAATAATTATATTGTTTGCTAATTTTGTTGAATATATTAAAAACTTAGTAAAAATGTCAGTTAATAAAAGACATATTAAATCCATTCAATTATTTCATGTGTTTGATGACCCAAAAGGCCATAACATACTGTTCGCCACAACCGATGATTTAGTATACGGTTTGGGCATTAATTTTTGTGGAGCTCTAGGATTGGGTCACAATATGGCTGTCAATTCACCACAACTTATACGGGAATTGTGTCACAAGAATATCACACAATTCTTCAATGGATCCGACTTTGTGTTAGCCATCAATGAAAACAA